TTCAACCATTGTGGAAGACAGTGTGGCGATTCTTCAAGGTTCTAGAATGAGAAATACCATTTGACCCCATAATCCCTTTACTGGGTATATACCCTAAGGATTATAAATCATTCTACTATAAAGACACATGCACACATATGTTTATTGCAGCACTGTTCACAATAGCAAGGACTTGCAACCGACCCAAATGCCCATCAATGATAGACTACTGGATAAAGAAAATGTGGCACATATACACCATGGAATACTATGCAGCCATAGAACAGGACGAGTTCATGTCCATTGTAGGGACATGGATGAAGCAGGAAACCATCATTCTCAGCAAACTATCACAAGAACAGAAAACCAAACACCACATGTTCTCAATCATAAGGGGGAGTTGAACAACGAGAACACATGGACACAGGGAGGGGAACATCACACACCGGGGCCTGTCAGAGGGTGGGGGGCTAGGGGAGGGATAGCATTAGGAGAAATACCTAATGTAGATGATGGGTTGATGGGTACAGCAAACCACCATGGCACATGTGTACCTATGTAACAAACCTGCACATTTTGCACATATACCCCCGAACTTTTAAGTATAATTAAAAAGCTAAAAAAAATCAGACTTCAATTCCTTTTGCTTCTGTAGTCCTCTATATATCACAAACACAAGACTTAACAAAGTGAAACAGGAAATTATGCTGTTAAACACAAAGTTCTACTTAGGAGTTTATTTCTGTACATTTGGACACATATGCACATTAGTAAATTATTAAGTACAGTTTTCCTTTTTGTTTCCCAGTAGCCAAAAAAAATCAAAATTAGGGTTTGGAATTCAATTCACATTTTGTAACAAAGACTCATCTCTTCTTCAAAACACACAGGTACAGGTTTAAAGGTAGCCCAAGGGGTAGAAATAACCTTACATTAATGAGGAGGGAGAAATTTAAAGATTAAAATATTTGCATTAAATTTGTAGAGATTGAGAGGACTTCTCTGACGTACAACTCTGAAGACTCAGAATTACTGCTATAATAAATAGGTACCAAAATGATATATGGAGGAAAGTGGAATTAAATATGATAATATAGAATTTAAGAAAGTATGGGCATGCATTAAAAGACTTAGAGACTTAACAGGAAAAAAGAAGAACATTATCCAATATAGCTCCAGACACCTTAGGAAAAATTGAAAGGGGTGTGTTATTTGAGGAAAAGCAAACAGAAAACTCAGAAGAACAGGGAATGGTTACTTAGGAAACATTTCAAGATAATCATAGTGAGATCAGAGCAATAGACCCTTAACTGAAGCCCTGGAAAGGGTGAGGGTGCTGTTAGAATGAGGTTTTGATCAACGTAAGGAGAGTATTCTTAACAAAAAAATTCTGGGGTTTATCTAAGAATACTAAACAATTCAAGAATTTGAATTAAAAGGGTACCAGCCAATTTGGGGTTGAAATGGGAGGGCAAACAGGGTCTCACCAAAGCATTAAGCCGAATCAAGCTATACTGATTACTAAGCTATGATATCATCCTTGAAACTTACCACAATTTTATAGAGCGTTTACACCATGCAGTACTTTCACACTTTAGAGAAACTTTTTATGACTTTGAAATACAATGCGACATAGTAAAAATGATTTTGGAGTTGTGGGCCACTGACATGGAATCCAGTTCTGGTTCTACCACCCATTGAGTTATATGATGTAAGGTGTGGGGTACCCCAAAGTCTTCTAAACATTTGTTTCCTCCTATATAAAATGCAGTAAGGTTCCTGGCCTGGCCTAAACATATTCCATAACTGTTCAGTGTCACAGATTGCAATTATTAAAGGACAGCTGGACATGGATGCTGAAGAGATAGCCTCTGACTTCAGAAGAGTACATGTGCGTCTTTTGGGGCCCAGGGGTCGAAATCTTCTTTGATACGAGGTGCAACTTAGAAGGGATGTACTCAACGTGGCAAGGAAAGGAAGAGTCAGTCACTTCAGCTGAGGCCCTAGTGAGCACCAAGGCAACACTCAGATTATGCTCTGTTCTCTCTCTGACTCCTGGTACAGATGACTGTATAGCACAGAGAAAGGAGAGTGGTAGAGAAAGTGTCAGGCTACGAAGGGAAGTGTAAGTACTTATGGTAAGTATTACTATGTATTAATTCAAGCTGTCTGAAATTATGAGAACAGCTTCAGGATATAACAAGGATACTGCACTAAGCAGTAAAGAATAGATCCAATAAACCCCAAATAGTTCTGGGGTATCCTATGGCAGAGACAGATTAAGAGGTGTGACTTGATCCTACATTCCACTACATAGGCCTAAGTGCAGAAAGATACTGGCCGCCCACTACCATAGCCGTCACTGCCTCCGTGAGCACATGGAGCTCAATTCTCCTGCAGTTTCAAAATGTATCCTTTGGACATCAGAGGTGATAGATTCAAAACAGAAGACCTGACCTTGGAAACTTTCTGATAAAAAATTAAGGTTAAAGTTCTTTTTGGGAATTTTAAAGTGTTATACTATGGACAATTACAAGATCAATGTCAAATAAAGTATAAAACCCATCATCCAAACTTAAATGACAAACTTCATCTCTCATCCATTTGAACAAAATCGGCCGACTACAATTAAGATTAATTTTGCATGCAAAAGATGGCAAAGAACATCACATAATGATTTTTCAAGCCTTCAAACAAAATCCTTAATGAATCAATTTAAAGACTGGCATCTCAGTTATAGGAATACAAGTTGGAGCCTGTTTTGTCACCAGGCACCTTCTAACACCCTTACTTTCTAGGGTCAGTAGTAACTTTTATTTAAGGTTCTTTCTGAGTTTATTACAGTTTACTTTTGTTTTTATTTTTATTTTTGAGATGGAGTCTCATTCTGTCACCCAGGCTGGAGTGCAGTGGTGCGATCTCAGCTCACTACAGACTCTGCCTCCCAGGTTCAAGAGATTCTCCTGCCTCAGCCTCCCAAGTAGTTGTGATTACAGGCACATGCCACAATGCCAAGCGAATTTTTGTATTTTTTTTAAGTAGAGACGGGGTGTCACCATGTTGGTCAGGCTGGTCTCAAACTCCCAACCTCAGGTCATCTGTCCGCCTCAGCCTCCCAAAGTGTTGGGATTACAGATGTGAGCCACTGCTCCTGGCCTACTATAGTTTTTATAAACAGAAAAACTTCTAGTCTAAATATTTCACGCTGAAAATAATGGCAACAGGGTCAGACTGATATATTAAAAGCTTATTAAAAAAGAAGGAAGAGATCTGATAATCATACGTACTGAAAAGGTAAATTTTAAAAATCATCGTATCTAATTAGATCCAATTTCTTATTATTTGAGTGATAATCTGGAATGCTGAGCACTTAATTTGGATGAGGGCTGAATTATAACATCATCTATCTAATTTTAGTATTCGCCAGAATCCGTTTAATGTCTGAAATGAACTTTACCACAAATTATTCCTCTACTTCACTGACTTTTTCATTGATTGATACTATTCTGGTCTATACTGTAAAAATTCTTCACATGAATCACAAAACCTATAGAAAAATGTTTCTATGTTAGTTAAGGATTAATCTTAAAGTCCCTTTAATTTAAATATTTTTTATTAAAATGTTCTTAAATGTGTAAGTACACTAACATTCTAGTGCTTACTTATGCTAGGCATTCAAATGCTTTATATACACTACTACAACAATGACAACGATTATTACAACAATGAAATAAAGTAGAATTATCACCTTTATTTTACAGATGAGAAAACTGAATCATAAGAAGGTCACATAACTTGCTGAGGGTTATATAGCTAGTGATCTGGAGCCAGTATTTAGTTTACTAAATATCTTATATCAACTTATTTTTGTGTGTGCGATTAGTCTATCAAAAAATATAGACCACTTTGGACTCCTCTTAACCAGTGTTTTCTAGAGTGTTTCTTTTTTCTTTTTCTTTTTTTTTTTTTTTTAACGGGGTCTCGCTCTGTCATGCAGGCAGGAGTGCAGTGGCACAATCTTGGTTCACTGCAACCTCTGTCTCCCGGGTTCAAGCCATTCTCCTGCCTCAGCCTACCCAGTTGCTGGGAATACAGGCATGCACCACCACGCCCAGCTACTTTTTGTATTTTTAGTAAAGATGGGGTTTCACCATGTTGGCCAGGCTGGTCTCGAACTCCTGACCTTGTGATCCTCCTGCCTCAGCCTCCCAAAGTGCTAGGATTACAGGCGTGAGTGAGTCACCATGCGTGGCCTCTAGACTGTTTCTTCACTTCATTTAAGTCTCAATAATCCAAACTAACCTACAGTAATAACTTTTAGCTTAAATTCATACATCTTTTAGTGCAACATGGATAGGACTCATTGAACTATATTGTTATTAAAATATGATCTCCTTTGCATAAAATTAGGATTTAGGAAAGGTACAATCAGTCACTAAAGTTATTTCCTTAACCCTAAGGATTAAAAGAAATTCATAAACTACTAATATCAGTTATTAGCTATTGTTGCTTATTCAAACGCACTAAACCACAGCTCAAGATGTTGATCACAGATCTTACAGATGACAATGAATCTTAAGTTTTACGTGAACAGTGTAAGAATCTGTGGTCAAGATAAAAATCAGTTCTATAACATGGAAGGAAATTTTATATTCAGTGCATATACAACTGGTGTTTGAAAATTTTAATGTACTTGACATTTCAAATGAGGTAATTTCAAAGAGGAAAAAGAAAATGACTTGGTTGAGCAGAAAGGCCAAGCTGTGGATTAATGATGAAGGCTGATATGCATGTACTGACACCTTGGCAGGTTGGGAAAGACACCTACTCCTATCTTGCATCTGTTTATGGGCACCGAGAATGGGCTCTTTTGTGTTAATTTTAAGTGACTTCCATCTGCATCATAGGTAGAAAAAAAAATTGCCGCAAATTAACATATAAATCACAGTTCCAATCTAATGCGTCAGTATTTTTCCATATTCAAATTCCACACATTTAATTAAAAAAAAAATCTCAGAAATCAGCAAATTACCTCGAATGTAGCTCTGTGCTGCCATTATTATATTTGCTTCCTCTTTCCCAGATACCAAAGTCAGGCACACGGTAAACTCTTTCCACACAAAATACAAGGTTTTGAATAAAAGAGACCTAAAAGAAAAGAAATGAAACATAAGGACATACTCAATAACAGGACATAGGCTGGGTGCGGTGGCTCACACCTGTAATCCCAGCACTTTGGGAGGCTGAGGCAGACGGATCACATGAGGTTGGCAGTTTGAGACCAGCATGACCAACATGCAGAAACCCATCTCTACTAAAAAATACAAAAATTAGGGGTCCATTCCAAGATGGCTAAATAGGAACAGCTCCAGTTTGCAGCTCCCAGCGTGCTGAACGCAGAAGATGGGCGATTTCTGCATTTCCAACTTAGGTACCTGGTTCATCTCACTGGGACTGGTTGGACAGTGGGTGCAGCCTATGGAGGGCGAGCTGAAGCAGGGTGGGGTATCGCCTCACCCGGGAAGCACAAGCAGTCAGGAGATTTCCCTCTCCTAGCCAAGGGAAGCCATGACAGACTGTACAGGGAAAATTGGGACATTACCACCTAAATACTGCGCTTTTCCAATGGTCTTAGCAAACGGCACACCAAGGGATGCCTGTGCCTGGCTCAGCGGTCCCATGGCCACAGAGCCTTGCTCACCGCTAGCACAGCAGTCCGAGATCGAACTGCAAGGCAGCAAGCCCAGCTGGGGAAGGGAGTCTGCCATTGCGGAGGCTTGAGTAGGTAAATAAAGCAGCCAGGAAGCTCCAGGTGGAGCCCACCACAGCTCAAGGAGGCCCCCTGCCTCTGTAGACTCCACCTCTGGGGGCATGGTGTAGCTGAACAAAAGGAAGCAGAAACTTCTACAGACTTAAACGTCTCTGTCTGACTTAAACTCTCTCTCTTCAGAGACAGCAGTGGTTCTCCCAGCACAGTGTTTGTCCTCTGAGAACGGACAGACTGCCTCCTCAAGTGGGTCTCTGAGCCCCCATAGCCTAACTTGGAGGCACCGCCCAGTATGGGCCGACTGACACCTCATACAGCCGGGTGCCCCTGTGACAGGAAGCTTCCAAAGAAGGATTGGGCCACAATATTTGCTGTTCTGCAATATTTGCTGTCCTGCAGCCTCCACTAGTGATACCAAGGGAAACAGCGTCTGGAATGGACCTCCGGCAAACTCCAACAGACCTGCAGCTGAAGGACCTGACTGACAGAAGGAAAACTAACAAACAGAAACGAATAGCATCAACATCAATGAAAAGGACATCCAATCCAAAACCCCATCTGTAGGTCACCATCATCAAAGACCAAAGGTAGATAAAACCACAAAGATGGGGAGAAACCAGAGCAGAAAAGCTGAAAATTCTAAAAACCAGAGTGCCCCTTCTCCTCCAAAGGATCGCAGCAACTCACCAGCAATGGAACAAAGCTGGATGGAGAATGACTTTGATG